AACCCCACAAACACCAGTTACAAGTAAAGAACAGAGTGGAGGCAGTGCTGATGGTAGAGCAAATACAAAGAGAGAAATAACAGGAGCAGGGACAAAGATAAAATGAACATTGACCAGATGGAGAGACTAAACGTCTTAATCCTGAGAGAGAGAGAAAGGAGAATAAGGAAGGAGACAAGGAAAAAGAAACAAAGATAAAGTTATCCAGAGAAACTATATGGCCTGATAATTCCAGTGAGAGAGAAAGGAAAGTAAAGAGGAAGGTATAGACCATGCATCAAGAGAATGAATTAAATATGTCTCTTTAAGCAAACCACTAACCAGAGTAACCAGCCTCGAGCATGGAGGATATAAAAAGGAGAAAAGGGAGAATATATCTAAATAACAAGAAATCACCTAGATTAATCCAGGCAATGCCGCAGTGCTGGTCAATAGAGGGCCGTCTGGTTCCACAGCCTCTATCCAGCTCCAGTAGATAAGTAGCTCCTCAGCATGGGGGGTGGGGGGAGAGGGGTGTGGGCATGGTTTGGGGTAGGAGGGTCTCACCTCCACTCTGGGCCCAGTGGACTGATCCCTGAGACCCTGCCTTGATAGTTGTGGGTAGAAAAATGGCAAGGCCCCAGTCCCTTCCTCACAGACCAGGTATCCCAAATCACTCCTTTAGATCAGTCCTCACTGTGCTAGGGACGCAGATGAGGCAGGCTGTCTGGCTCCACAGTCTCCTATGTCCCGTGCTTAGCTGGACTTTAAATTCCCACTCCGTGTGCATTAATGATGCCACCCAAAATGTAACCCTGTAGCTGTGCTGCAGCCCTTCAGGGTAGGGGACCGGATTCTCCTTCTGCAGCCTATACCCCTGGCCTACCACCGAACTGGGAGGAGACTCCCCTCATCCCCTGGTGTGCAAACAGAGCAGCTGGCCCTAGTCCAAAGAAACCCTTGCAGTTAGAAATGGGATCTCTCTCCAAAAGCCTGCAGTTAGAGATGGGATAATGGGATACCTCTCCGTCCCAGTTGGAGGTTTTCCTCTTATCCAGATACAGTCTTACACTTCCGCAGCCACTCTTTCTCTTTCCTTTGTCTCTCTGAAGAAAAGGATCCATCCCTCCATGCCTCCGTGGCCCGTTTTATCTCCCCCAGTTTGCAATCACACACTTATGGAGCCATCCAGTTTTACCGTTTTCTTCCTGGTGGACTCTGTCTCTTTACCTCCCAGACTCTTGGGGTTCATAGCCCTTTGGCTTCAGCCCTTCTTTGTTTGAGAGACACAGGTAGTATGGATCCCACTACTTCTCCGCTATGTTGGCCTCCCCTCCAAGATTTCATTCTTTTCTACAGCTGAGTAATAATATATACAAATTTTCACACATATACATATATGCACATATATACATATATATGCACATATATACATATATATGCATATATATCACCTCTTCTGTATCCATTCATCAGTTGGACACTTGGGCTGTTTCCATAATTTGGCTTTGTAGATAATGCTGCGAAAATATTGAGATATATTACTCTTTGAATTATTATTTTTGCATTCTTTGAGTAAATATCTAGTAGTGCATTGTTAGACCGTAGGATGGTTTTTTTTTTTTTAATTTATTTATTTACGTAATCTCTACACCCAATGTGGGGCTCGAACCCACGACCCTGAGATCAAGAGTCACACACTGAGCCAGCTGGGTGCCACAAGTAGTTCTACTTTTAACTTTTTGAGGACCCTCCATACTGTTTTCCAGAGTGGTTATACCAGTTTAATTTCCACCAATAGTGCAAGGAATGTTCTCATTTCTCCACATTCTCTCCAGCACCTGTTGTTTCTTATATTATTGATTTTAGCCATTATGGCAGGGGTGGAGTGATAACTTATTGCAGTTTTGATTTGTAGTTCCCTGATGATCAGTGATGTTGAGTTCTTTTTACGTGTCTATTGACCATCTGCATATCTTCTTTGGAAAAGTGTCTATTCATTGCTTCTGCCCATTTTTTAATTGGATTATTCATTTTATCATTTTATGTATGGTGAGTTTAAGTTCATTATAGATTTTGGATACTAACCCTTTATCAGATATGTCATTTGTAAATATCTTCTCCCATTCCGTAGGTGGCCTTTAAGTTTTCTTGATTATTTACTTCACTAGGAAGTTTTCCTTTTGTTTGTTTGTTTTGTTTTTTTAAGTCCCAATACTTAATTTATTCATTTCATTTTCATTTTCTTAATGTTTTTTTTTTCTGAGAGACAGAGACAGAGACAGAGAATCAGAAACAGCCTCTGCTCTCTCAGTGCAAAGCCCAGCATGGGGCTTGAGCCCACGAACTGTGAAACCATGACCTTAATTGAAGTCGGATGCTCAACCAACTGAGCCACCCGGGTGCCTTCCAATAGTTTAGTTTTACTTTTGTTTCCCTTGCCTCAGGAGACAGATCTAGAAAGAAATTGCTATGGCTGATATTAAAGAGCTTACTGCCTTTGTTCTCCTCTAGGATTTTGATTTTTTTCAGGTCTCATATTTAGGTTTTTAGTCCATTTTGGATTTATCTTTGTGTATGGTATAAGTTGTCCAGTTTCATTCTTTTGCATGTTGTTGTCCAGTTTTCCCAGCACCATTTGTTTAAGAGACTGTCTTTTTCCCATTGGATATTTTTTCCTGCTTTGTCAAAGATTAGCTGGCCATATATAATTGTGGGCTTGTTTCTGGGTTTTCTACTCTGTTCTGTTGACTTACGTGTCTATTTTTGTGCCAAATTAGAAAAGTACATTTGATTCTATAAGGTCAATATATGTTGTAGTCCATCAATAAAAATTTGTTGGAAAAATAAGAACAATTCGCTAAAATTTTCCCATTTCAAGCAGTGTGGATATCAAGAAGTGTAAGGTAAAGCTCCTTTCTAAGTGAATTTCTAAGTACACTTTGTTATTAACCACTATTTTGGGAATCTGACCAAATTTATATATTTTCTTAACCTTACCCATCATGTGATCAACTTTTGTTTCTTCTTCTCTTCTAAATAGTCTTGTAAATGTGAGATGAACTCCTCTCTTGTCAATAGGAAATTCCTTTTCCAGTCAATTAATGATGGTTTAATGATCATCTCCTATATGCCGAGCTTTATTCTATGTCTCTTGTGAATTACAAAGACATATAAAAGATTTCCCTTTAGGGGCACCTGGGTGGCTCAGTCGGTTAAGCGTCCGACTTTGGGTCAGGTCATGGTCTCACGGTTCATGGGTTCAAGCCCCGCGTCGGGCTCTGTGCTGACAGCTAGCTCAGAGCCTGGAGCCTGCTTCAGATTCTGTGTCTCCCTCTCTCTCTGACTCTCCCCTGCTCACTCTGTCTCTCTCTCTCTCAGAAATAAATAAAAACATTTAAAATTTTTTTAAAAAAATAAAAGATTTCCCTTTAGTAGGTAATCTAGTCTAGTTGGAGAGTTGAAGCAAGACATAAATATGGGAACAATTAAAAGGAATTCAGGATATAAATAATAGCTTGATATAAGCTTTGTCATAAACTATTTTGTATTTGTGTGCCAAGTCCTCTCATTTCTTTCTTCTAGGTGCATTTCAAGTTTGCCTTTTTAAAATTTTCCCTAGATTCCACCACTGATGACTCTTCATTGCCCTACTATTGTGTTATTACTGCATCCTCTTAGCTGGTTTTGTTCTCCTCTTACCCATCCTATGTAGGAAGTCAATCATCTTTAAATAGTACTTCCCTTGAGTCTTTTGTTGCTGTTGTTCCACGAATTTTCAATGGTCTTGTAGTCTGCTACATCATGTCCAAATTCCTCTGCATGTTTCCCATGATCCTCCAGAATTAAGCTCTAATTATTCTATATCATGAACAGCTTGCTGTTTACCTTACCCCACGCAGTTCCTTCTCACCAGATCATTTTCCTCTAGTCCTACATTATGCTTGCTAAGTTCTACCTCTCTTCCTTGGTTTGTGTCAATCTTTCCTGAATTTCTTCTTCCTTACTCTCTACTTTTCCAAAGCTTTTCCATTTGTTAAGATCTACCTGGAAACCCATTTCCCTCATAAAACTTTTCCCAACTCTGCCAGCTAATTTTAGCCTCCTCTTTCTCCATTCTTTTACTGCATATAGTCTTTTTTTTTTCATATTTTTATTTCTAGGAGAGAGAGAGAGAGACAGCGTGAGCAGGGGAAGGTCAGAGAGAGAGGAAGTCACAGACTCTGAAACAGGCTCCAGGCTCTGAGCTGGCAGTCAGCACAGAGCCCGACGCGGGGCTCGAACCCACAAACGGCGAGATCATGACCTAAGCGAAAGTCGGATGCTTAACCGACTAAGCCACCCAGGCGCCCCTTACTACATATAGTCTTATGGCTCAAATGATACAATCTGTTACTAGACTGTAGTCTTCTATTATTCCTTTCTTTTGCTGTTCTAATTCTGTGTTCATAGTCCTAGAGTATAAATTGAGGGTAAATATAAAGGTTTTAATTCCTTCTTCCTTAGCAGTTGGCACAGGACTTAGTGAACAAAATTGCTGAATCAGTATTTTTAATCATTATCCTAATGAAGGTACTAGTGTTTTATTATATTGTCTCAGAGGCTGAGTAAAGAATGGGGTATGATTCGGAGGTCTATTAGAAATGTTTATTAGGGCTGTATTTCATTAAAAATACTTAGCACCACAAGTACAAATGAAGATGTAATGTTTATCTGATTATATTTTTAAAATATATATTTCTTTACACTTACAAGTTTATAAAAATCACTCAAAATAGTCCATTTTATTATCTTGTTTGAAAGCTGTTGAAATGGCCTATTTACAGTGAATCAGTGGTGCTCTAAATGTGCTGGGAAATGGATATTGTATGAATACAGTAACAACTCAAGTACAAATGCTGTCTAATAAATGTTTACACACCATCAAGTCTACAAACATTAAATATCATTCACGATAGAATCTCTCTTATCCTGCAATTTATCTCAATTTTTCCATTACCTTCTTTCATTTTCTCTTCTAGCTTTACTCACAGACAAGCCTCCCAAGCCATTGTTCCCCATGGAGAATCAGCCAAGTGTTATAGATGTCCAGCTGGGTAAGTCCCCTTCTGGGAATAATAGATCCTAAACTTGCTCTCTGTTAACAGATGGGGAAAATTACATGAACCAGGAAAGGTTTATTGCCACTGTTATTACATGCAAATCAATTTGTTTCTGCTCATTTATAACCCTGGAGTTCAGTGTAATAGTTTAAGGAAATGAGTTTGAATTGCATCGAGGAATTGTAATATTGATTGGTTACACTAGGTATTAAGTGTGCTACAGGACAGAGCTTTTTAACTCTGTGATTGATAGATTCCTAGGTGTCCTGCATTGGTGACTGGTACAAAAAACTTTTCATGCTTGTCAGCCAAAAATTTTCACTTAGAGAACATTAACTCCTAGAGAACAGCACTTTTTAAAAATAAAAGGCCCCTGAGTACAACCTTTAAAATGATTGGATGATATGATTTCCAAAGGCACAATCCAGAGCTATTTAAAACTTATTTTTACGTTGAGATCCTGAATATTCATGAATATTTGGTGTTGGTAAAAGTAACAAGTTGATTTACTGGTGCTAATATTTTACTGCAAACTCTAATAAAGTCACAAGGTGTTGAGTCTTCTTTTTGAGTCCCCTACCAGTAATCCTTATATTTCAAGAACTGTGAACTTAAGACTCAGAGGCCTGTTAGTATCTCTTCATATCATGGCCTTTACTCTAAACCATGTACTTTAACATTTGTGAGCTTTCATCTACCTTGGGTTTCATTCTGTTCTTCAATTCTAAGAATTTCTTCAATTTTAAATAAGACAACTGAGTAAATATACTGGAGGTGTATTAAGTTTATTTTGGGTATATGATTTATTGAACCCTGTGAGCATAGTTGTACCTACCAAATATATAGCCAGGGAAGAAGAATTATTCACAGTATATCATCTACTTGGAAGGTGTTTTTTTTTTTTTTACTCAGATTTTGAATCCAATTGAATTTGGATTATTAGAGGCTTATTTCTATCTTGAGAATAGGTGAGAGAAAATTAAATTCCTACAAACTTGTTCATTTCTCTAAAAAGAATTATAGTACATTGTAGTTAATGCAGCCTACCGGTATGAGGCCCAAAGTTAAGTATTTAAAAAAAAAAAAAAAAGAGAGAGAGAGAAAAGAAAAGAAGTATGTTGTTAAGAATGGATTATGGAAATAGCAGTTGTGGAAATTGCAGTGAATATTTTATAGATAATGTTGAAGTATTAGAAAATGGTTCTCCCCCCACCACTTTTATTATTTTGCAGAATCATTACATTTTATTAAAGCCAAATCTAGATGGGCTGACCCATACTCTCAGTAATTTTTGCTTACATCTTTCTGTCAATACTGGGATAAAAATACCTTAAATTGTATTCTGTGGTAGTTACATGAAGCCATAAGCTGACCTTATATCATTAGTTTCATGAAGATTTAAGTGAATAATTATTTTTATATGAAAGCATATATATTAAAGAGTAGAAATCAAAATTCACACTATTTCAAATTTTGTGTTTGTGGCTCATGAGTGGGAACTTCATTTTCCTCTGCTATTAGTCAAGGTTTAACAAAAAAAAGTTAGAGGAGTATTTTTCCTAAGCAAGTAGAGAGACCATTGTAAGGACTATATTTTATTCAGATTCACTGGGTACATAATCTGAATGTGCTATTTAGGACATTTCTAAAATGTGTCCTTGGTATAAATGCGTGTTCTTACATAGGTATATATGCTAAAATAACCCACCACCAACATGACCTTGTAAAATTACTAAAGTAATTTGCTTCCAATAGGTAAAAGGCTGAACGTTTCAGATTTTAGTTTGTGACACAACTTGGAGAAAACTTTATTGACAAAAAGATGGATACCTGCCCATTTTTTCATCCCAGAAAGGCTGTTTCTCTGAAATGCTAAAGCAACCATTTAATTCAGGGAAAAGAAAACAAAATCAGTTAAACCATATCTTTAAAATTTCAAAGGCCACATAACTAGTTAATTTTAAGTGATTTTAACTTTTCCATGTATTTATTTAGCACCATTTATTCACAATTGGAAGTTATTTTGTAAGTTATTCTTATGCCTCAATAGCAAGATGATGTTAGGAGCACTGTAAATGACAGAGAACTCCTCAGTGTCAGTGGGAGTTCTGCAGTTAGAATGTAACTACAATTGTAAAAAAGAGAAAGATAATTGGATTGATTGGACACTCCTGTCTATATCTGGAAAACTCAGAATTCAGTAAAATCATGAAAAGTTTTGGAAATTGTTTTACTTTTTTTTAAGTTTATTAAACAAATTTAGCTTTAGACATCCTCAAATTAGAACTAAAAGTATAACTACCAAAAATACAACAATCCAATTCAAATGGCCTAGCACACTACCAAGTTTAGGTTTCCCCAGTCTCAGTTAGTACCTAATATCTGAGACAACATTCTATTAGATTAAGTTGGCCAGGCACACCTGGGTGGCTCAGTCGGTTGAGCGTCCGACTTCAGCTCAGGTCAAGATCTCACAGGTTCGGGGGCGCCTGGGTGGCTTAGTCGGTTAAGCGTCCGACTTTCGCTTAGGTCATGATCTCGCGGTTTGTGGGTTCGAGCCCCGCGTCGGGCTCTGTGCTGACTGCCAGCTCAGAGCCTGGAGCCTGTTTCAGTCTGTGACTCCTTCTCTCTCTGACCCTCCCCTGCTCACGCTGTCTCTCTCTCTCTCTCCTAGAAATAAATAAAAATATAAAAAATAAAAAATAAAAAAAAATAAAAAAAAAAAAAGATCTCACAGGTTCGTAGGATGGAGCCCTGCCTCGGGCTCTGTGCTGGCAGCTCAGAGCCTGGGGCCTGCTTTGGATTCTGTATCTCCTCTTTCTGCCCCTTCCCTACTCATGCTCTGTCTCTCAAAAATAAAATAAACTAAAAAGAAATTTAAGATCGCCATAGATTTTTTGCTACTCTTAAGTTTATCACCCCCCTTCCCTTGAATCTAAGATGGCCTTAGGGATATGCTTGATCAATAGAATATAATTAAAGTGATTCTGGGAGTTTGGAGGGTGGGTCGAAAAATCCTTGAAGCTTCTCTTTGGGTTCTGGTCTTCTCTGAAACTACCATGCTATGAGAAGCTCAAGCCACACGGAGAGGCCCTAGAAGATGGGGCATCATTTGAAGAAAGAGACGCCACTGAACACAGGGGTTGGTAAATGAAGAAGCCATATTGAAAGTGGGTCCTGCAGCCCCAGCTGCCCTGGCTTATGCCATGTAGTTCAGGGACAACCCATTAAGGTAAACTGTTCTGATGTTTTTAACCCAAAAAGTTATGAGCAAAATAAAATAGTTATTATAAGACACTAAGTTAGGTAGTTTGTTAAACAACAATAGATACTTGGAACACGCATTAATTTTCTCTAAAGCATTGTAAATTCCCTTTTCACCATGGACAAGAATCCCATGTAGACATTTTATACAAAAAGATACATATTGCAGAAAATGGTTAAGTGACAACTTCAGGATAGTTTTAGAAAACATAGTCTAGAATAATTATTTATGTGTTTCTTTGAGCATTACACTCAGTTCTCAGTTCTACATATCTGTAAAGGCAATCCAGTAGATGAAATTTTTCAGTAGAAATGAGTACTGTTTTGTGCATGAGTTGGCATCAGTACAGATATTTTGTTGTATCTCTAGAGGAAAATAAACATCTAGACTTTCTCTTTTCTATAGTGTAATCCATTAGTCATCCACAATGTTTTACAAATTTACAAACTTTTTGCTGACATAGTGATGACAGTTTGGTTGATGTTAAATTGTGTTCATATTGTAATGCTGAAAGAAGATTAATCTTAACCAAATTGCCATATGTTTTGAGATGATAAACACATTCTTTTTTTTTTAAATAGTTTATTGTCAAATTAGTTTCCACATAACACCCAGTGCTCATCCCCACAAGTGCCCTCCTCCATGCCCATCCCCCCTCCCCCCCACATCCATCAGTCCTCAGTTTTTGTCAGCATTCAAGAGTCTCTCATGGTTTGCCTCTCTCCCTTTCCCCCACCATTTCCCCCCTTCTTCTCCCCCTTGTTCCTCAGTTAACTTCCTCCTAATCCTCCTATACGTGCAAACATATGATATTTGTCCTTCTCTGCCTGACTTATTTCGCTCAGCATAACACCCTCAAGGTCCATCCATGTTGCTACACATGGCCAGATTTCATTGTTTCTCATTGCCATGTAGTATTCCATTCCATTGTATAGATAAACCACATCTTCTTGATCCATTCGTCCGTTGATGGACACTTAGGCTTTTTCCATGTTTTAGCTATTGTTGAGAGTGCTGCTATGAACATTGGGGTACATGTGCTCCTATACATCAGCATTTCTGTATCCCTTGGGTAAGTTCCTAGCAGTGCTATTGCTGGGTCATAGGGGAGTTCTAGTGTTAGTTTCCTGAGGAACCTCCACACTGTTTTCCAGAGGGGTTTGTACCAGTTTACATTCCCACCAACAGTGTAGGAGGGTGCCCGGAGATGATAAACACATTCTTAACAAAATAATATGAAAATTAATGCTCTCACAAAGCAAACCTATTCTGCTAAAGTAGCCTGTGGTAATATATGAAATACAAAGACAAAAGCAATGTAAAAAACACAAAAAAATCCAATTTGGTCCTATTATCACCCATTTATTTTCTTACTGTGAGGGTAAATTTAACTTTAAATTTGATAAATAAAAATTTACTATATCAGTGCTAATTCTTTTTTTTTTGGCAGTTGAAACAAAATATATTTTCAATTTTTCTAAGAAAAAAATAACACTGCATTAAGTTATATTAATTCATACTACACTTTAATACCAATGTATTTAAACATCATAGGAAAATGTGCCCTACTTGAAATGTTAGGTTGACCCTTCTTTGGACACTGCTTATTTTTTCGGTACCCAAACACATGCTTTACAAGTTGTAACAGGCTCCTAGAAGCTTTGAAAAATCCATGAATAAATGTGAATGAAAAGATTTCAGATCTGACATCTAATTGCAATTGAAGGTA